TAAAAATAAACATTAAAAATAAAGTTTATACATACCGTCGAAAACTGTCTCCGCCATTCTTTTCGCCGGGGACTGTATGTTTCCAAGCACGTTTTCTCTGCCCGTAGTTTTCGGGAAAACGTGCATTCGGGATAATGTCGGACATCGGTTTCCAAGCATTTATAAAAAGACTCAAAATTTTGCAATGTTAAGCATTTATTCCTTTCCTTTTTATTTATTCAACAATGTCTGCAAACCACAAAATCCATTATCACGAAAAAGATGGTGATATTTTTCTTAAGGCCGAAAATACAATATTTCTAATTCATAAAACATTTCTTTCATTATCTTCAGAATTCTTTAAAGATTTATTTAAACTCGCAAAACCTTCTTCTAATGAAAATGTAAACATTATTGACGGGACTACAATCGAGATGAATGGTGAAACTTCTGAATCAATCGAAAGAATGTTATCATTCATTTATCCGAATACTTTTGTTGAAATAACTTGGGATAATGTTGAAGATTTGTTACGAATTTCGAACAAATTCATTATCAGTAAACTTACAAAAAGTTGTTCCGTATTTCTCTTACACCATTTTCAGGAAAATGTTCTATTATCATTTACCTTTGGCTGATAAATACTCGTTTCCTAAAGTATTCAAAGAATCTTCTAAACTTTTATTAGATGATTTTCAAAAATATCGTTCAGATCCCACCTATGATGAATTATCTCAAAGAGCTAAACTTAAACTAACGGATGCTTGGTATCATTATACAAACTCTTTACATATATACTTTGGAAAGAACAGTAACCGTTCGGCAAGAAAATCAGATAAAGTAATCACATTTAGTGAATTTTTACTTTCTGAATCTCACAATTTTTTTTTGAAACCCTCAAAGTTCTCGAAAATTTATAGAGATTGGGAATCTAAATTTTTTAACTCCCGGAAGTCGATAACAATCGAAGAATTATTTAAAAATTACGAAACATTGGAATTTCAATCAATTCAATTAGAAAGTAATAAAACTCAATACATTTTCATTGAATTGGAAAATTAATTTAAAATTTTTTTAAAAACTAGTGTGAAATTTTTGAAAAGGGTATATTATTATCATATGTCATTTTTCAGATGCATTATTATTATTATTATTATTATTTTTATTATTATTTTTAAATAAATTACATTTATTTTAAAGAATTTTTTTTTTAAAAAAATAAAAATGTAGAATTTTTTGTTTCTATATATTATCCTTAAGCAATTACAATGTAGTTCAAACACTATTTATAAATATTTTTTATACATTTTTTCTATAACAAATGCTAAGAATTATTTGAGTCAATTCTGTAAACAAACCGCTGTTATCAACTAAGTCTTGACTAACCAAATTATGTACCATTGCTTTGAACTGTATCTAAATCCTTCATTTTTGCTTTTGCTTTTTTAATTGGTGGTGAAAACGATAGCAAAAAAGTTCAACAAATAAAGTATATGTAATGCGACGAAATACTTTAATAATTCAATTATATACTGTATATGCTTTATATAATTCTATGAAAACGGAATACAATGGTGAAAGGTTTATCTTGTAATTGCAGGTACAATAAGGCAGTAGAACGAGTATTTCTGGCAGAACTAATCTAGTATAGCTAAAAGGTGTAGTATAGCATAATAATTCGGAACGCGTCTTTCAAAAAAAGAAAAAGGCGATAATCTAACAATGAAATTCGTGTAACATCATCATCTCAATTTTGTTCCATAAAATTTTTATTTCTTTCTTGATGTGCCAGGTAACCCTTTTCAGGATTTGGCATTCTAACTAGGTCATAATAACGAGGCTATGACTGTTGCAATGCCTGAAAATCACAAAATCCATTATTATGAAAATGGTGGAGATATTTTCCTTAAGGCTGAAGATAAAATATTTCTGCTTCATAAATCAATTCTTTCATTAGCTTCAGAATTCTTTGAAGATTTATTTAAACTCTCAAAACCTTCTTCTAATGAAAATGTAAACATTATTGAAGGGACACATCAATCATCAAATACTTTTGCTACAATCGAGATGAATGGTGAAACTTCTGAATCAATCGAAAGAATGTTATCATTCATTTATCCAAATACTTTTATTGAAATAACTTGGGATAATGTTAAAAGATTTTTTACGAATTTCGGACAAATTCATTATTAGTAAGCTTACAAAAAGCTGTTCTGTATTTCTTTTACAACATTGTCAAGAAGAAGTTTTATTGTCATTTACGTTAGCCGAGAGATACAACCTTGGTACTTTATTCAAGGAATCTTCTAAACTTTTATTAGATGATTTACAAAAATATCGTTCAGAACCTATTTATGATGAATTGTCTGAAAGAACTAAACTTAAATTAATGGATACTTGGTTTCATTATACAAATTCTTTACATAAATACTTTGTTAGCAAAAGATCGACAAACAATTCATTTGGAGAATTTCTAAATTCTGAATCTCCCAAATTTTTTTTGAAACCCTCAAAGTTCTCTAAATTTTTTAAAGATTGTGAATCTAAATTTTATAGCTGGCATTCAATAAAAATCGAAGAATTATTAAAAAATTACGAAAAGTTGAAATTTCAACCAATTCAATTAAACGAAGCTAACGAAAGTAGTAAAAATCAATACATTTTCATTGAATTGGAAAATTAATAAAACCTAGTGTGAAATTTTTGAAAAGGGTATATTATTATCATGTCATTTTTCAGATTCAATTATTTTTATTATTATTATTATTCTTATTCTTATTTTAATAAATTACATTTATTTTAAAGATTTAAAAATAAAAATGTAAAATTTTTTGTTTATATATATAATCCTTAAACACTTTGCCATATAGTTCAAAATAAATTGGAACACTATTTATAAATATTTTTTTTTTTATTAACAAATGCTAAGTCTTGACTATGTCCTTCATTGCTTTTTTTAAATGGTGGATAAAAACGAGAGCAAAAAAGTTCAACAAATGAAGTATATGTAACGCGACTTAATTCAATTAATATACTGTTTAAAGTTGTAAAGTATCCATACCTGACAGTGGTGAAAGAATCATCTTGCAATTGCAGGTAAAATGTTTAACTATTTGTAAATTTTATCATTGATTTTTATAAAGCAATTTGTGCATGTAAAGCACACTGTGCATGACAAAAGTATTTGGAATAAAGTTCGACGAAAAAAACATCTTTTCTCGCGATATACATCATCTCCAAAAAATGGTCACCAAGTCACACGCGACTTCGGATTTTCGTGTAAAAGCGTGATTTTTTTTGATTAGCAATAAAGAAAGGAATGTGTGTATGGGAGGAAGGGAAAATTCCGACGAAAAATTTTTCGTCGGAATTTTCTCTTCCTCTCATACACACGCCAAAGAACTATACCAATTTTGTTTAACCTTATACATGTATGTAGAAAGTTTAACTAACCAACAAATTCAATTTTGATGTTTATTTACTAAAACATTCCGACATTCTTATAGCATATGCTTTATGCTTTCCATATAAATGAAGGTTTAAAAATTTTTTTTCTCATACTACATTTAGCTTAGAAATGATAAAAGGCGTCGATCATCGCTTCGAGCCGCAAAAAAATCTGTGTAAAAAATCATTAGGTGAGTCTTATTAATATTTTTTTTTTTTACTTTTCCGTTTTACAATGAGCTAGCTGTAAACAGAATTATCTCCCCAGAACCCTAGAATTTTTCCCGTATAATGTTATAAAAACCTCAAAATTTTTATTTCCAGTTAATCCTTTTCTGTATTTGTCAACGTAATTATTCTAACGAGGCTATGGAAGATTTTAATAACGATGCTATGACTGTTGAACACCACAAAATCCATTATTATGAAAATGGTGGAAATATTTTCATTAAAGCCGAAAATACAATATTTCTTCTACATAAATCAATTCTTTCATTATCTTCAGAATTCTTTGAAGATTTATTTAAACTCTCAAAACCTTCAACTAATGAAAATGTAAACATTATTGAAGGGACACAACAATCATCAAATACGTTTCCTACAATTGAGATCAATGGTGAAACTTCTGAATCAATTGAAAGAATGTTATCATTTATTTATCCAAATACTTTTGTTGAAATAACTTGGGATAATGTTAAAGATTTTTTACGAATTTCGGACAAATTCATTATTAATAAACTTTTAAAAAGTTGTTCCGGATTTCTTTTACAACATTATCAAGAAAATATTTTATTATCATTTACTTTAGCTGAGAGATACAATCTTGGTACTGTCTTCAAGGAATCTTCTAAACTTTTATTAGATGATTTACAAAAATATCGTTCAGAACCTATTTACGATGAATTATCTTTAAGAACAAAACTTAAACTAATGGATGCTTGGTATCATTATACAAATTCTTTACATAAATACTTTAAAATTGTTAGTAAAAGAGCGCCAAAACAATTTAGAGAGTTTCTACATTATGAATCTCCAAATTTTTTTTTGAAACCCTCAAAGTTCTCTAAATTTTATAACGATTGTGAAATCAGATTTTCACGTGTTCATTACGAAAAAACAATACCAACTATTGAAGAATTATTAAAAGATTACGAAGAATTGGAATTTCAACCAATTCAACTAGACAAAGATAACAAAGATAACGAACATAATTCATATTCCTTCAGAATTAAACCTGAAATTCGAAGATACATTTTCATTGAATTGAAAAATTAATTTAAAGATTTTTTCTCTTTTAAAAGCTAGTGTGAAATTTTTTGATTCTATCTAATATCATGTCATGTCATTTTTTCAGATGCCATCCTGATATATTTAGACATTAAAATTACCTTTTTTTGTAAGAGAATTCCTAATGTCGACTTTTTTTTTTTTCTTTTAATAAATTTACAAATTATTCATTAAAAAAAAAAAAAATATTGTTGGAATTACGAAAGTATAAAATTTTTGTTTCTATATATATCATCAAACACTTTGCAAATATAGTTCCAAATAAATGGAACACTATACATAAATATATTTTATACACAGTAAATTTTTTATGAATAAAATCATTTGAGTCGACTCTGTAAACAAGCCTCTGTTATCAACTAAGTCTTGACTAACCAAGTTTTATACCATTGCTTTGAACTGGTCTGCTAAATTTATAAATCCTTAATTATTGATTTTTTGCTCGTTTTAAATGGTAATGAAAACGATAGCAAAAAAGGCTCAACAAATGAAGTATATGTAAAGTCGACGAAATTCATTTAATATCTGTGTAAACTATCCACATCTAGCGACAATGGTGTGAGAGTTTTATTTTGTAATTGCAGGTAAAATGTTTAACTATCTGTAAAATATTAAGAACAAGTATCTTCTAAATGATGTGGTCTTAAAATAAATGCAAATCATGCATGTAAGTACTGTGCATGATAAAAGTAATTGGAATAAAATTTCAAAAGAACAATCTTACTCGCAATATACTTCGACGAATGCGTCTCTCGGAAAAAAAAATGCTAATCACCGTCACACGCGACTTCGCATTTTCGTGTAAAAGCGTGATTTTTTTTTGATTAGCATTAAAGAAAGGCCTGCCGAAGAACTTGTCCCCAATTTTTTGTCTAACCTTATTTATGTAGAGTTTAACTTTATTGAACTAACCAATTTTTTGGAATATAATTCCGACATTTTTATATAACATTTGCTTTATGATTTTCATATGAAAGGTTTAATTTATTTATTTTTGCTTACATAATGAAAAATAAGCTAATTAGTTCAAGAATAAAGTAAGTCTTATTTTATTTTCCGTTTTAACAGACTATGTAATGTTTAATAACGAGGCTATGATCACAAAATCCATTTGGTTTCAATATACAAATTATTTACATAAAATACTTTGAAAACGTCAGTAAAATTCAGAAAAAAATAATTTCTACATGCTGAACCACCCAATCTTTTTTTGAAACCCTCAAAGTTCTCTAAATTTCATTCGGGAAAACCACCAAAAATTGAAGAGTATTTTAAAAATTATTAACAATTGAAATTACAACCATTAAAGATCAAAATTACATTTTTATTGAAGTTTAAAATTTATTTAGTATGGAAAAGTTCTGGTTGGATAAATTCGATGTTAACATATTCTGTTCCAACGGAAACGTTTGCATATATTTTTTTGCGCGTAAATATCGAAAACTAAGTGACTTCGCTGAATTTATGGTTAAATTTCTAATGGACGAAATCAACACAACGTTCTAAGTGATAAAAAAAAAGAGAGGTGGTGGAGGGTCAGACCAGATTCAATCAAAAAGAGAGTCTGACATCCCAACAGATGCCATAGGAATAGTATTATCCTGCTAAGGCTTACTCTCGTGCTTCAGAGAAATTGGGCACATAGGAATAC